AATAGATACCAATAGCAAAACACTTTTTTATGCCAACCAATATGTTTTGATCTCCAAAGAGGTCTTATTGATTTACGTATGACTTGGACCGGACCGCACGTCCAACGATATTGTTGTGACAAATATGCTGACCATGTTGGTGGTAATTCATTTTGACATTCAACATGCTCGAGATAGATCGATGTCCATCCTTGATAATGTGCTCTGAATGATATATCAAGATCTTCGACTAATGTATCTGTTTGCCATCCACCGCACCTTTTAATAGCCGATGTACGCCATACAGCACCTGTACCATTGAAAGTAAAAAATAAAGATAACCAACATCGAACGACTTGTTCACATTTATGATGAAAATTGAGTGCTATTTCTTGCATTCGGGTTAAAAATGATTCTTTTGCATTAAAAAACGTCCAGCGAGTTTGAACAAAAGCTAAATTTGGATTATTAATCAAATATGGAACTGTTTTATGAAGAAAATCGGATTTTGGCAAAAAATCAACATCGAAGATCGCTATATATTCTGCATTTCGACATAATGGAAATGCATGTTGTAATGATCCAGCTTTAAATCCATGATGATTTTTTCGTCGTTGAATATCTATTTGTATTCCCCGACAGTTCCATTCTTCAACTCGATTATTGATAATTTCCATTGTTTGCTTATCACGAGAATCATCTAATACTTGAACAAATAATGATGTTTGTGGCCAATCAAGCTGACATGCACAGTCAATAATTGATTCAACGAAACAGATTTCGTTACACATTAATACTTGTACTGCCACTAGAGGATAATCATCTTTAACTAATTGATCTAATGACGATGGTAGAATAGGATCGCGATTTTTTCTTAAACAAAGTCGTATAAGAATGTGTATAATACGATCACTTATAAAGAGAAAGTATAGGACCATATATAGAATAATGATTATGTAAATGACTATTGATAGAGGATTAATTTTCTTCGTGTCTTTAGATTGAACAAAATCATATGAAATATTTTGAAACGTAGTAGATGATGAAGAAGTAGTAGCTGAGCCGCGATATATTGATTCAATTATTTTGCTTGACGAAGAAACTGTCGACAAATGGATTATGATGATGGTTATCGGATAAAGCATAATGATTTTAATATCACTAAAACACAAGACATATTT